AAATTAGAATAATAAGAAATAAGAAAAAAGGATAAGAAAAAGAAGAAAGAATAAAAAAAAGTACTAAAAATAAATATGGGGGCGCGTGTAGCTCACCACTTGCCAAGAGTTTGGTTGTCAGCATTAAGGGTGCAAATAATTACATTTAAAATAAATTTAGGAGGTAATAGATTTCCCGCAAAAAAAAAATGTGTAGTTGAAAATCCAGATGTAGGTCAGGGGGTACTTATACATTTTCACATTTTATTATCCTCTACCATAATTAGTGGTATTATCTAAAAAGGAATGACTCCACCGTGCACGATTCTTGGTTTCTTTAATTGACTAGTTGGTTGGACAACAAAGAAAACTGACATTTAGCTTAATGAATATAGCGAATACAAAATTTAAAGTTTATGAGTTCCTACAATAATTTTAAATTATATACAATAGTAACTGAGTTTATAGTCAAATATTTTTAAATATTTAATATTTTCTTACATACAAAATACAAAATCCAGACAAAAGGTACTAGTTTCATGGGAACCTATAAACTTAACTCTTTAAGATTAGATCGCCCCTGCTTACAATCATGTCATGATCGTTACCCAAAAATAATAATAAAATAAGGACAATTAGTGAAGATAACGTTAAGAGAAAAAAAAGAAGGCATATTCTTATCTATCAATTAAATAACAACAGCAACTTGAATTTAGCAAGATTCAAAGACAAATAAAAAAGATGCCAACTCAAAAGTTTTCAGCCCCAAATTTACAAGGACGACAATCCAATGACACTGATATATTCCCCTAGAGGGGTAGGCATAGTCCTCGGCGTTAGTACTCTGTATTGGACGATGAAAAGGTTTTTGTCGATACTACATATGATTCCCCATATATGCTTGTTCGATTTTGATTAAAACGAGAATATACAGATCGAACGTGCAATCATGTATATCAACATGACCATATAATAACCTAGCCGGCTAGCGATATTTCTAGCCATCCAGGTTAATATGCGTGCAGTCATAGTGATATACATGACTGCATGGTAAGATGCGTACGTACTCTTTTTTTTTTTCGAAATCTGATACGCTTACGTGGCATGTAGTATATCGCCAAGCTTATGTCGTCTACTACGGAGCACTATACGCGAGGAAATAATAAGCCTACCACTCTAGGGCCAATTGTCTTAAATCTAAGTCTAATTAATTAATGCAATTGCCTTTTCTTCTCATGATCAAGGCAAGAAAGATCTGGTCATTTCGAATATTGTTGTTTTCGTATGAAGGAATTACAGACTTTATTTTTCTGACTAGGATTTTCCATTTCATTACTCCTCATTTTTTTTCTTAATACCATGGCGTCTTTAATTGTATCTTCTCTTGTAATGGAAGAAATCCAAATCGTTTTTCTCAACTAAAAAACAGGTTATTGGCCTTTTTTTAAAGTTTTATTTATAAGATTACCTACAACTTTTATATTTCTTTCCTGAAAGAGAAAAAAAGACCAATCAAACCATTGTAATAAAAGTGAAGTATTATCAACTAAACTATTGAAATGAGCCATTCTAGATATTATATACAAATACAATGAAGTCATGGAAACCTTGGTTAAATTGTTGATATACTATATATTTGGCAACTTAATTAGGTCCAGTTCCAAATGAATATAAAAATGGACCAGTGGTCGACTAATATGTTTGTGCGGTAATTTTGACTTGGATTACTAAAACTCTGATAATTGTTCGAATTGTTTGGGGTTCATTTTTTCAATTACATAATGTATATTTCTGGATTTTCTTGGTATGGTAACATCATATTTAATAATGGGATCTTTACACAAATAGCCGGTCATATTTATTATTTATTTTTTCTAGATATATATATATACTAGTTTCTACGAACGTGCGTTGCACGTTAATAATGGCACGTTAGAATTTAGTAATATTATTAATTATATAAAGGATCAAAAAATTAAATTAATAAGAAAATAATATAGATAATATACTACGTGAATTCAAAATGATCGGACATCATCAAAACTTGCAAAAATGGGCAAGTTAGTCATGTTATTTTGATAATAGTATTATGTATTTATATATTAGAAATATACAATGTGATAATTCTTATCTAAGACTTTTTTTGTGTTTGATATTTTTTGTGTATATTCCTTTCTAACACTTAGGTTACTCAATCATTATCGAATCTCTTGATGTCAACATTGATATCCCTCTTGGTAGTAAAATATATAATTTCTTGTGCGGTAAATACCGTCTAATATTTGATACTTTATTTATTGTCATAGAAAAATACAAGGGATATCCTTCATTTTTCTAGAGGCAAAAATTGAATTCTAGGGATAAATACATGTTTGGAAGCACATTGTCCTATCATGATTTCACATGTATGACGTTGTTTCAAAATATCGTCTTTGTAACATTACATAAATTATTTCACGGATCTAAATTTCTCAGTAGTATGATGGACACATTTTTTGTTGTTGTCAAAATCAAGTTTTATGCAATAGAAGATCAATTTCAACTTTAATTTGTATGTTACATACATATATGATGGTAACAAATATAAGAAATAATGAATTTGATGGTATTAAAGTATTTAAGTACTCTTCCTCTTAGTAGTTGTTGGTAACATCTCCTGATGAGTCGAAACTGAAGATTATTTTGCTTTCAACAGGGAACTTGGAAATGAACATCTCATTTAGTTGATCGATATATTAATTTTTGATATCTAAGATAGCGCTTACTATCATGTAATTTGCACGACTTGCATTTTATCTAATGTCAGTTTTCTTATTAAGTGATCTTCACCACTACAATCACCAATGGACTTTGATAACTAATTATTCTAGAAGGGATTAAATTGTCTTTTATTGTATGCTCTTCTCCACACGAAGAAGAAATCACTGATGCTGGACCTTTTATCGCTCTCAAATTTCTACAGTCCATTCTCTCATTGTTATGAAATTATTGTACTTGATGAAAATCACCTCAAAAAACTATTATTTTCCACCAAATGATTCATCGATAGCCATCATAACTCCAAAGCTCATGTCAATTGTTTTGATCATCTCTTCGCCATAGGTGCTTCATCATAATCAATTTTTCTTTTCTTATCAATTTAGCATCACTACTCTGTTTGGGCATAATTGTGATGAATGTTTCAGTTGTTTGAAGAGGTTTTTTGAATCTAAAGTGAGTCGTATGATTTCATATTAAGATTGTTGATACTACACCACTTGTTGTTGTTACTAATGCTATTATGCCTCTTGATATGATATTTATAAATAATACATGATAAAAGAAAATTTTGTTCCTCCAGGGCCATTTACAAGAATAATCCAATTCTATCAAAGCTGATTTTTTATAATATAGTTTTGAAAATTTAGCTTTAATTGTGCATTGAAATCTTTCTCAGATATTTGTATGACCATTTCTTCAATAATTTCTCTGTATTTAGATGCAATATTATCATCACGACCATGATCAAATCAAGATAAACGATATTTTCTAGCACTCTTGCCTATGCTTTGTAGGAAATAATTAATGTTGTTCAATGTGCATTATTGTTGAGTATTATATGAACTCTCAGATATCCTTGTAAAGTCATTTGATATATCTTCTTAATATATATCCCATAGTTTTCTAACATTAAGTTTTTTTTAGAAAATAGGATACATATTAATACCGAGGTCCCAAAATATTACAATGCATAGCAATTTCCTTCAAGACACTTAAGTTTCCAAAGCTGGCTTGCATATTACATATAGTTTCTGGTAGATACTTTACAAAAAGAGCTTTTTATTTTCGAGATCCTTAGCTAACTACTTTATGACAAGTCTTCTTGAATTTGGATTGGTTGGAAGGTTTTTTATCTAAAAGGTGAACAACTGAGTTCTCTTGGCGGAGGTTATGTCTGATAAGTACCGCCTTCTCCCGGCGCATTAACAACCTGCAAGAATTAGCAATCTTCTATTTTTTTTATTTCTCCGTAATTTTATCATCCTTTTAGAAGCTATCAAATCATATTGAGTTCTCTATTAGATCACTAAAATAGATATATTCTTCCTAAGAATAGTAACTTTTGTACTCTTTATATATTTCTTAACTCAATATTTTCTTTAGTTTTTTATTTCTTAACTTAACAACTTTTGTAGGATATGTATTAGTTAACTGGACAAGTTTTAAATTTGATCGATTAATTATCGTGTGGATATCGATTGTTCCACAAATGAATTCAATGTTAGTAAAAGAAAAGTACCAATCTCATTGCTAGTTATATTTGAAAGAATCCAATTATTTTTTGAATATTTACACTGTAAATCAATAGGTAGACCTACGCCAAAGCTGGATTACTAGACTATAACTTTTTCAATTGAATTATGAATTCTCGTAGGAATCAAATTGAGTCGCTAAAGGGCTACAAGAAATTCCTTTTATTATCTTACTTTCCTTACATGAAAATGAAAATTAGTAGGAAGGAATCTTGACTACCTAAATTCCAAGTTCGTTAGTTTTAGGATTCTATTTTAAAGATGATTCTTAACGTGTAGTATTATGTCCTAAAACTAATAGGATTACAAGACTAATGTCTAGAAATCCTATTATATCTTTTTATTGTGAGTTATTATGCTTAATATTAAAAGGTTATTTATGTAAACTAACATTTTATTCATGCTTTTATAATAATATAGGCGATATAGATATATAAAACAACTAATTCTTCTTTAACAATATATGATCACCTACATATATAAATATAATTTAAGAGTTGAAGCACGAAACTTCCATAAAGAGGTTGGAAGATTGTGATTTTATCAAAACCAAATTAAGGAACATGATTGAATAGAATTTTGCAAAGATAAATAATAATTACAATAATTCTACATATGGGTATCATCTGGTCCCCCATAAAACATATAATGAGGAAAATTTTCGGGTCCTTCATGTGGTTCATCAATGACCCGATACAATATTGGATTGTCAATAAATATGGGTGTTTTTTATACATTTATCGTCTCGCCTTTATTATCAAAAACTATAAGTCCCCTACAATAAGCATCGAGTGTAGGATCTGGAACTGCAGGAAAAAAGCCCGTTCCCATTCGAGGATATGGTACACCTGGCGGAGTATATGCCACTCCACCCCACTCAATATTCGTAGCAAAGTCGTTTGCTAATGCTGTAAAAATCCCTGGAGGCCAAAATCCAACTGCTGTCTGATTTTCTCCAATTAAAAGCCACCAGTTTCTGTTTGCTAGATCCTTTAGTTTTCAAAAGGAAATGTATGTTAGCATTTTTAAAACGCTTCAAAATTCTTATATTAAGCAATTAGTGAAAAAATTAATAAAGTAGACAAAAAGATACATAAATTTGATTTTACCCGATCAATGTACATAAAAATCTCCCATTGTGTCTCATCCCCTCGGCGAGAAATATGGTCGAATTCAGAATCAAGATATATCTCACTGTTTACTAATACAAAACCAGGACATAATGTATTGAAGCAATACGTATTTCCAGCCTAAAAAATATTTAAAATTTCATGAACAGTCATTATCTATTGAGGTGAACAATTCAATTGAAAGATACTATAGTTTTATGAACACAAGAAAACTTACTTGGAAATGTATAAAAAACTTAGTATGATTATTCCCATATAATGTTGGATCCACCTAAAAAAGAAATAGAACTGTTATAATTATTAAGGGTTCAATGAGGTATAAAATTAAATTTCCATCTCATCCTCCCATTCAATTCTCCTTTTCTATATCTGTCCTCTAAAATTTTGAAAATAGCAAGTAAGATAATATAATTAAATTATTAAAAATAACGAGTTATACTTACTCTCCAACCAACTTGCATACTATCCGGTCCTTTTTGAATCTTCAATCGGCACACACTACTTTGTTGACCTTCAACAGAAGGATTCCATATACTAGCTACCATTGCAGCTCCCGCAAACTTGTTATTTGGATCACTTGGAGTATGAACAATTGCACGCTGAATATAAAAGATAAAATTTTTCTTTTACTCATTCCATCGATTATCCAAGTTAACTCTATGTTTATTCACTTGGAGCTGAAAAGAGCAGTCAAATGATAAATACGTAACTGTTTGACTCAAAAGATATTAGAACCTTTTTGAACAAACCAATCCAAGATGAAGGGGTAAATCTTAGCCAAATATAATAATCTCTAGAAAGAATAATAGGTAAAGAGAAGATGGTCGTTAAGTTTCCTTTCAATCAAGAATAGTATTCTCCCAGAGTACTCCTGCCCTATTACAAGATTATTGTCTCCCCTTTATACTAAGAGAGAAAACCTTCTAAATTGTAAAAGACAAAATACAAGGAATATTCGAAGGAATATTCCTAATGTCCCCTGATGGGCTTATACTATTACAAGGGTCGTACAGTTTCTTCTTTGCCTTAAGGTCGTCTCCCTCGGGACGCCGAACCATAGAGACCCTATCGTTTGTCGTACTCGTCGTGGGTCGTGATCGATCAAATTTGGACCCATACAGTTTGTCCCATCGCTCGTCGGGGTTGCAACCGGGTGCGTCCTCGATGAGCGGACTTCATGCGTTCTTATGGAGAAATTTGATCTGTTGAAACGTCACGATGTGGTCAACGAGGGATGGTCAGCGTGTTCAGCAAGACACCAAGTGGTACACTTTACCAGGAAATGATGTCAGCTTTACGTGCGTCATCATCACACAGGTTTTCGAGGCAGGAGTTGACGGCTTGACGCTTCGATTCTTGCGCTACTTTGTGACCTGCCGCCTCGATTCTGGCTCCACCCAACCCAATAAATAGGTGAAGGGTCTGTTTTTTCGAAAGTTTTTGGCCATTCCTCTCTTGATATCCTCATTCCTTCTTCCGTGTTTTGTTTCATACCTTCCTGGTTCTTCTTACATTCTTTATTAGAAGCTTTTTCCTCCTGCTTTTTGTGTTGATATCCTTTTGAACGACATTATGTCAAGGTCTCGTCGTTCTCGTGAAGAGGTTACTGAGGCCGCCCCATTATCCACGGCACCCCCTTCTGGTTGCGAAGATACGGTGGTAGAGGAGGGTGACAGCCTTCTTACGGTAGAGGAGCTACTGCCAAGACATCCCTCGTCTCGGAGTGACTTCCTCAAGGATCCTCCCCTCGCTCCGACCCCCGTATTCTCTGAGACGGAGCAAATTCATATTGATGCTCTTCGTGTGAAGTACGACATTCCTGCTCATGTAGAGATGGTTCCGGCGGGGAGAGACTACGTGGAGGTCCATAGACCCGGGTACTGTGCTTTCTATGAGTACCCTTTCATGATTGGCTATACTCTTCCTCTTTTCCCTTTAGCGGAAGAATTCTGTATATTTTACCAAGTTTGTCCGGTGCAACTTTAGCCGTATACGCTCAAGATACTTCTGCTGCTGACCAAGTATGCAGAATTGGTAGAGTGTGACGTTTCCATTCACCATCTTTTGCACCTGTTCACGCTCGGTTTTCTCAGAGGTACCATGGTACACTTGAGGCTCCGTGGTACGAAGGGTCTGGTGGTCGGGACTGATGACCGGGCAAGTCGCAAATTTTGGCACAAGTATTTCGTTGTCAAAACCGAACATGTCGTTCCAACGCCGCCAGGTTCCTGGAGCGATGGAATGAGGCTCGTAAGTGTCGCTGTTTGTTTCTCTTCTTCCTTCTTTATTCATTATAAAGTTTATTCGCTTCCTATTTGCAGCTATGGGACGTCCACCTCGCCCTGTTGCGGATATCAGGGATTGGGTAGCCCGTCTGTTGCCTCATGCAGCAGAAACTCGAGATTGGCCCGCCTTCATGAAGCGTTACGGCCCTAAAGGTCCCTCTGGTAAATGTCTTCCTTACTTCTTCATTGGTCGCTCAACATTATTTTAATGATACGACCCCTTGTGATGACAGGTCGAGGGGCTTCCAGGCGAAGGGCGCCAGTCCCTGCATTTCGTCAAGCTGCTGCCGTCGCAACCACGCAGTTCGTTTTGAATGAGTCCGTTCGAGAGGATCGTCCTCAACCTATTCAATTGGAGGATCCGTCTCGAGTCGTGGTCGTGAGGGAGGAGGCTTCTTCGGTGTCGGCCTCACACCCTTTGGACGGGTCCTCTAACGGGGATGAGCCATTGTCGAGAAAAAAGGAGGAGGTTGGAACTGGGGAAGGACGTGGCCATGGACGCTGATAGAAGCAGGGCATCGCAGACAGCCCCCGTGCCCGTATTTATGGCTGACGCTATTCTATCGGTGAGATCTCCCCAAGTGGAAGGAGTTTACCCAGGAGTTGGCTCAGTGTGCTCTGCCGAGGGTGGTGCGTCGTCGAACATCGGAGGACGTCGTATTGAGGGCGACGGCTCAGGTTCGGATGTCGATACAGAGGATGTCAATGAGTTCGTAGGTTGCCATACCCACGTGGAGGTTAGAACGGAAGGGTCTGATCGTCATATAGTCGTCCTGGGAGACTACAACATGCTGCTGAACAGCAAGCAAGTGGCATCTGCCCTAGCTCCTCTATGTGTCGCTCTTGAAAACGAGATGCTTAGGGCAATGAGTGACGTGGAGTTGTCTCAGAAGGTCGCCGGTATGGCCCTGCAGGTAGGTGCCTTTTCTCCTCTTTTTCGTCGTTGGGTTTGTGCGGCAATCGTCATTCTGTATTTTGTTTCTAACTTTTCCCCTCTTTTCTTGCCATACCCTCATCAGGGAGTTTGAGCGAGAGCGTCGGGAGAGGAGAAGAATGGGCCTTTATGAGAAGATATCGTCCAAATATCAACAGTATCGTGCTAAGCATCGGGCGATGGCAGACATTTATCATCAGGACCTTGAGTTTCAGTTGTTTTGCGAGGGGATCAAACAGCGGGATGACCAACTGGAGCGTAAGCTCGAAGAACTGAGGGAGTGGGATGAGGAGCTCATGAAAACTGTCGCTCGTAATAGTGAACTCGAGGCTTCTCTCAAGGCGAAGGACGATGAGCTTGAGGTGAGTAAGGGGTGATGGCTGAGAATGCCGACTTACAGGCGAAGGTGGTCGACTTGACCGCTGATTTGAGTGCTAAGGTAGCGGAGATTGAGGGGCTTAAGGGCGAGCTGGACGTTAGTTCTGATAAGCTAGCGGCAGCTATTTCTGAAACGGTGTCTTTGGAAGATGCCCTCCGTATTTCTAGATTGGAGTTGACTAGGGAAAGGGAGGCCTCTAATCTTAAGGTTCTGGGGATTGAAGGGCATGTTAAAGAGTTGGAGGTAGAGCTATCTGCACTGAATGGGAAGGTGGCCTTGTTGAGGGCGGGGGATGCCACTCGACGTTCTCAGCCTTCTACGTCTCATGCCTCAGCCGATCCGATCGTGCCTCGTTGTTTATATGAGCTGTGGGTCCATGATGAGGCTCGGCTTGATGTGTACAAGGCTTTTCACACCGAGGGAAGGGCGACTGAGGCGGAGCTTCAGGCCGTGCACACTAAAGCTCGTGAGGCTTGCAGGTACGATCCCCTTACACCTGACGGGGGCGACATCAGTTCTGATGATGCGAACCATCTTACTTCGGACTCGTGGTACGAAGATGCTTACCCCACCGGGGATGATGTGTAGTCTTTGCTTGTACTTGTTTTTGTTTTGGGATTTTTGCAGAGGGCGTATTGAGCCCATTTGTGAATATTGTAAATAACATTTTGATGCAATGTAAAATATATTTTGTCGATTTGCTCTTCTTTGCAATGTTTACGATATCTGGGGTACCTGTCAATGACCTTGGCCATTGGGATGTTGCTTCGGACCGTCGTCGAAGTAGTATCCGGTCGTAGTTCGAACGAGGTCGAGCTCATGTTATTGTCGATGGCCTTGGACATTGGGATGTTGCTTCGAACTGTCATCGAAGTAGGATCCCGTCGTAGTTTGAACGAGATCGAGCTCGTGTTATTGTTGATGGCATTGGCCATTGGGATGTTGCTTCGAACTGTCGTCGAAGTAGGATTTCGTCGTAGTTTGAACGAGGTCAAACTCATGTTATTGTCGATGGCCTTGGCCATTGGGATATTTCTTCGAACTGTCGTTGAAGTAGGATCCCGTCGTAGTTTGAACGAGGTCGAACTCGTGTTATTGTCGATGGCCTTGGCCATTGGGATGTTGCTTCGAAGTGTCGTCGAACTAGGATCCCATCGTAGTTCGAACGAGGTCGAGCTCGTGTTATTATCGATGGCCTTGGCCATTGGGATGTTGCTTCGAACTGTTGTCGAAGTAGGATCCCGTCGTAGTTTGAACGAGGTCGAGCTCGTGTTATTGTCGATGGCCTTGGCCATTTCTTCTTGGAGATTTGATCGTATACCCGTAGGAATACATGTCGGCTTTATTCATGCAATGGAGGTTTAATTATATACTTGTAAGGATCACATGTCGACTCTGTACATACAATGGAGGTTTGATTAAATTCTTGTGAGAATCGTATGTTGACTCTGCACATACAATGGAGATTTGATTAACTATAACCAGTCCCTTCATTACTTCGCTCCAGAGATCATGTCGACGGGTCAAGGTAATGAACAACACTTCGATCCTTGAGGCATCTCCCTTGCCGCCTCGTTAAAAACCTCCCCGGGAAAACCCGATTGGGACAAAACCCGGGTGAGGAAAAAAGAGTACGACTCAGATGATGCTTTCTTTTAGAAGGGGAAGTACTTGAGGTGAGCGACATTCCAGTTGTTTTGGAGTAGTTTTCTTTCCATTATTTCTAACTGGAATGCTCCTTTGTTTGCTGCAGCTATGATTTTGTATGGTCCGTCCCAGTTTGTTCCCAATTTTCCCTCATTAGGGTCTTTCGATGCTTGCGTTTTTGCCTTGAGGACGTAGTCTCCGACTTTGAGTGGCCGCACTTTGGCTATCTTGTTGTAGTATCTTTCCACTTGCTGTTTCTGGGCTACTATTCTTATATGGGCCATGTCCCTCCGTTCTTCGACTTCATCCAGGTCTTGTAGCCTACTTTTGTCGTTGCTTGGTCCGCTCTCGTTGGAGTATCTTAAACTAGGTTCTCCGACCTCGACGGGTATAACTGCGTCAGTCCCGTAGACCAGTGAATATGGCATTTCTCCTGTGCTAGTTTTTTGCGGTATGCCCATAGTACTTCTGGTAGTAGTTCAAGCCATAGCCCTTTAGCATCCTCAATCTTCTTTTTCAATATATTCAGTATTACTTTAGTGGAGGATTCGTCTTGGCCATTGGCGACAGGGTGATATGGCGTGGAGAGTATTCGTTTGATGTGCCATTTTTTGAAAAACTCAGTCGTTCTCTTTCCGACGAACTGAGGTCCGTTGTCGCAGCTGATTTCTTTGGGGATGCCAAAACATCATATTATGTTTTTCCATATGAATGCGATGACCTCCTGCTCACGTATCTGAGTGTATGCACCTGCTTCCACCCATTTAGAAAAGTAATCAGTTAAAACCAAAAGGAAGCGTACCTTACCTCGTCCTGCTGGGAGGGGGCCGACTATGTCCATTCCCCACTTTATGAACGGCCATGGCAAAGTGACAAAATGAAGGAG